GTAGGGAATATGAAAAAAAATATTAAAGGCTAGAAGTGCAAATATTAGACTTATATTGCCTTGCATAATGCATGAAAACAGACGCCATCTTCATGACTGGAGGAAGCACACTGCATATTCAGCAAACATACTAGGAAATAATATTTCATATTTTAAACTAGTAAAGCACTTTTAGTGGTTTGACACAAATGAAATGTCAGCAGTTTAATTTACACAATGACAAGGATGTTCCTGTTCATTTCCCAGAAAGGACACAGAATTTTCGTGTTTTATGAACCAGAATTTTAGTGAAAAAATAGAAGACTTAAAAGTATGTAAGCACATTGTGCATGATACAACCCACTAATGCTTTGAACACTTCCCTACACCATGACCGTGAACTAAGAACAATTATTTAAGTAAACAAATCAATAGATAAATAAAGGAAGCAGATGCTACTAAACCCAACTCCCCTTGTACTGGGGAGAAGACCCATCCTTGGGTTCTGAGAAACCAGAACAGTCTGGCTGAGTTTGGAAGAACCAGCCATCAAAGTATTTATGTTCAAGTGTATGAACTCTCCCTCAGGAAACAGCCACGGATCTAAGAAGTAGATAGTTAATGTTGTATTTTGTTTTTTCTGGACCCCTGAAGCCCAAACCGCTGCCTCCCCTGCTTGACACCAGCGGGCCTTGCCTCCCAAAGCTTTCACCTCCTGCACAGCTGTAAGCACCAGCTACAGAGGGACATGCATTTTTCAAACTCTCACCATTTTGGGTCAAGCCGGGTAAAATCAGTACAATAAAGATTTAAACTTGTGGAACAATTCTGGGAAGCTTCCAACACTAGAGTCAGGAAGGAAGATAGCATCTGTGCTGCTGCTTTGACATTGTCCCTTGCCCCAAGGCAGGGTGGTGGCCAGAAATGGCCCTCACGAAGTGCCGCTTGTCCAAAAAACACCACATTACAGAGAAAGCAAAACTGAAATTGTTATGCTCAGAAGTATTTCCAGACTGCCACCAGTACACCGGTTTGCCTGGGTGAAACCGTACTTCATGAGGCGAGCAACAGAGTCTGGGTGCTTTTTCGCAGCTGTGACAAACAAGAGGCTCCTTGCCCATAGCCAGCTCTCACATCCTGCCAGTGACAGAAATGACCAATGATGTCATTGAAGGATTCTTCCAAGGACTGATATCTTTTGGACATGTTCTTGTTTCACTTCACAAAATAGAAAACAAAAAAGACACTGGAGATAGAAAACATTTGATTAAGCAATTGGTTGTCTCACCGATGTCAGTACCTGGAACATAATTTATTGATTTAACTGCATCCTTCCCTTCTCAAATCATGCACTTGCAAATGTGCTGTGACTGCTGTATCAGTGTCTTTACTCCATGAAGCCAACTAGTTCTTGAGTGAGGAAATAAAAGTAGCTCCCAGGTATTTTACCTGGAAACACCAACACACCTGACAAATACAACTGATACCCTGACAGATACCCTGCCAAAACAACTAGCCAGACTTAGCCCTTTTAAATAGGTAACTTAATTTCCACATCCACTGACAGCATACAGCAGTCCCGGGGTGAAGTCCTTCGAGTCAGGCTATGCAGGAAGTTGAACAGGTGACAGAAGCTTAGAAAGCATCATCAGTGTATGAATTAAACCTGCTGTTAGTTGTTCAAATAGATACAATCAATCTTTTCTGTCCTTTCTCCTTGTGCATTTGCTTACTCCCCTTGCCCATCACTACCAGTTTGTCTGCTCATCATCACATCTCTCTCTCCCTGAAGCACTTTACCACAAGTGGTGCCTCACTCAAATCCTCTCTGGTATTTTGCCTGGCAGAGCTGGGCTGGAGAGAAGGGAGACTTTTATAATGTTAAGATGCAATTATGCCTTATTAAAGGATAAGGAAAAGGCGAAATTATCATTTCCGCTCCTTCCCTACTTATTTTGCACCCAATCATGAAATTGGCTCATGTTGTAGTCACATGTTTTCCATCATAGGCCAACACCAAGAAACTCTGAAATGACTGGGAGCTCCCTGATAGCAGAGGAAGGAGCATGAGAGACACCCCTGTATCCTGCACGCAGAACAGGGGGAATGCTGCTCACCAGTGCCGGCAGTGAGTTGGGGCCCTGCCAGGGCAGAGGTGTTTGCTAGAGGCTGCCAATTCCAACCAGAGTAACAAAAATCCCCACATCATCTTTGTGCATCTGTGAGATGCCTGCTGTGCTTGTGGGTGTCCAAAAGGGTGGCTAATTAGTGTTACAGACACTGACATCAGCCTAATTTTCAAAGCACGTGCCATATTACACGCTGGTTTCTGGGACCCATGCCGTGGCTCATGTGCTGAGGCCTTCAGACTTCAACATTTCAAATCAAGAAGAGTAAAGATTCATTCCTCACTTAAGAAAAAAGATAATTACTATTGTATACATTTACATTACTCCACAACCACAACCTTTTGCTCCATAAAAATTAACTGTTGTAATTTGTGCTTAGATCAGTAATTAGAAAAAGCTGTATTTTCCTCAATGACTGCACACAAGTATTTATAGAAGAAAACCAAATTTATTTTCTGAAAATTGTATGACTTTTTCACTATTTCTCACTCTGAACTTATTTCTGCCTAATTCTGCCATCTGATTTCCTCAGTATCTTAAGCCTACTACTTCACCTGTGAGTTGTTCAGTACTAGATATCAGCCTAAGGAGATGCAGAGCACATGCTGGCATGATTTGAGAAGTTAGGAAAACCCTTCCTGTACTGCCTGCGCTGCCAGCGCCATCTACAGGGCTCTGACGGACAGAGCAGTACAGTCCCCTCGCTGCAGGTCTGAGGTGAGCCACAGGGGGTGGCCAGGACAGCCACTTCACACCGCTCAAGGCAGAAAGCAAATTCCTAATAATTATCACTGACTTGGAACCTCTGTATAGAACAGGGGACTGTACGTTTTTCTGCACAGCAACCTGCAGGTAACTCCTTGACACCAACCTGATTCTAGTCCAGCTGCTGACAGCTCTTACAAAGAAAATGTATTTGCCCAGACCTCCTAATTATTATAAAATTGCATGTCTATATTCTCAGAACTAAGGCATTTTATTGCATTTTGCACCACCATTCAAATTTAGGAATAAAATGCATACATTGAACCATGATGCATTCGTGACTGCACTATATTGGCAGCTTACAACGTTCTGTCTAAACACACAAACCACTTGAAAAAAATTATTGCTGATGATAGAATAGCTCCATCTTCTGGAATAAAAGTTTCTGTGACAACCATTTATATTTCCAGCATGGAGCTGTATGTAAAACCTATTCTGAAGCCTAATTTGAGTATTTTACTTATGAAAGGTGAACCTTGGGTAAAAAATTGAAGGGATTTAGAATAATGTGCATACTGATGAACTTTAGGAAGCATTATTCTCTAATGCCACAAAAATGTATCTCCATCGGTCAACATGCCATATTTAAAACTGACCCTATTATTTAAGAAATAGCTGTAATCTGATTTTGAGAAGAAGTGTTTACTGTTTAAGACAGAGCACTCAACACACATACTTCAGGCCTGATTTAGGGTTCTTTTAAGCTTCACACTGAAAGTTTGTAGTTTTTAAAAAGAGTGTTTGTGGTTAAACAGTTTTAATCAGGGAGTGATTGAAGCCCCTGCTGAAGTTCTTGATGTTAAAACTGCAAAGAAGGGGCTGCAAGTGATATTTATTGCTATTTCTCAAAACACTTAAATGTAGTTTAAATATTTCAAGTTAAGCACATGATGCATTTTAGGCACGTAATTAGTAATTACTATTCCTATATGTAAAAATTTAACTTAAGGGAAAGTCAGATGTTCAGCTGGAGAAATCAGAACAAAACCATGTTTTATAACTCCAATTTTATCAGTTTTATGTATCATGGGCACATTCTACAGTTGTTACTTGAAAAAACAAGCGTTAGTGAACTAAGTTTTTGTATTCACTCACAAAAGGAAAACAGCATTGAAGCTACTAGTGATCTGCTCACTGGTGCTGCATAGTATTTCTTTTTTTTCCCACAGAAAGGGTAGAGCCACCAGAAAAAAAAATAAAATAAATTAAACATGGAGATATACATCTACTTTTGAAACAGTGGCACATCTGAAGTTAATACATATGGACACACAAGAATAGCAGAAATTTAAATAAACTTGTTTAACAAAACAAAGCAACCGAAGCTTTATTTCTCTATATAGAAAGATGCATCCCAGTGTGCATTCTTTTAAGCTAAGAAAAAGGAAAATGTCATGCAGCCCTTGCAGGAAATAAATCCTCAGGTGGTAATACATATACATAGAAAGTTTTCCTTTAGTAGATGATTCCTCTCAAAAGATGCGTAATGCCATTTAGGAGAACCAAACATGATTACTTCATAGTAGAATATTCTACTACATTTTTTCAGTTCAATAGCAAAACCATTGCATGAACCACCATATTGCTTGCATCAGTTAAACACGAGCAAGTAACAAAACTTAAGCAGCTAAATGTGTATCTGGAAATTAGACTCCTTATGCAAAGTGAGCACAATGAAAGGATAGTGAACAAATGAAAGGACTTTTCTTCAAAAAAATTGTCTTTTAGCTTTCTGCAACTTCACGTCTTATATGGCTTTTGAATGCAGGCATTAGTTAAAAGAATTTTCCCACCCTTAGTCAAGTACTGACTGTATTTAAATACAGCAATGCAACGAGAAACAGAAGTAAAACATTTAGCATACCATATTACTTTATGTAATACAGCATAAAATCCCTTTTTCTAAGGCTACAAAGGACAGATTTACAGTAATATGAGGTACCAACATTTATGGTTGTAAAAGTAGAGATGGAAAAGAATTATACAGCACTGGCATCAGACATGTCTATTTTTCTTTTTTAATTTTCCCTTTCCTTTTTTTTTTTTTTTGAGGGGTTTTCTGTTTTGGTTTTCTTTTTTTTTACAAAATACATGTCATGATGACCACATGCTTTAAGCTTATATTCATTTGTTTTTATATATATATTTTTTATTTGTAGGGGCAATTGAGAGAGAGTCACAGATAAAGAAAGGACACTAAGGTTTTAATAAGGGCAACAAAAAAAAAAGATGTCTTCACCAGAATAGATTCACATTACAGTACACCAATATTGACAGCATTCTCTTTTGTCTATTTTTGGTACATAAGATGGGATCTCTCTACATAACCTTATAAGGCTTCAGTAACTAAAAAGTAAAAAACCTATTAGTTTACAATTTGTTTAAAAATTCTGAAAGACACAGCAAATTCTAAATTTTAGTAGTGCTACCCATACACAACCATCCGGTTTAAGAACCCATTTAAACAGCCTCCTTTCAAGGGAGCTTCCAAGAGCAGAGTTGTGCAGTATGGATGTCTCTTACTACAAGGGGAAAAAAAATATTACACATGGCACATTCTCATTCATATTTTGCAATGTAAAAGGTTACAAACATACCTAATCAAATAAATAATAATAATAAAAAAAAAATCTGAAATGTGTTTGTTATGTATCCTAAAACCACTACACAGAATAATGGAAACTTTCACTCACAGATTATTTACATGGCAATACCCAGGTCAGGGTACACACTGCTACAAAACTCATAAAACAAAGGGTAAACTTGAAATGTTTTCCATAGTAAAGGTCTAGCAGCATGACTATATCTAATGCTGTTTGTTTTCTTGACAGTTTTTGGAAGTTTGTTTAATCTATGTCTTCATCCAGTTCATAATTGTCTTTATCATAAATATCTTTTACTAAAAGAACCCGTACGAGCATATTTTCTAAAGTGTTGCGGTCCAGTGAAGTGGCAGTGTACCAGATGGGACTCTCTGTGGAGACAGTGCACTCTGGCTGCAGATAGAACATGTCCATCCTCTGATTCAGATTCTGTGGGCTATAAGGGGGAAAATACAGGGGGTTAGAAAAACAGCCTCAAAGGACAAATGAACATGTTAGCAGTTCCAACATCCTGCACAAATGAAGCTCTAACTGTTGTCTAGTCAAGTTCAAAGAATAGAAAAGAAAGAAAAATAAGTACTAATGTGGATTAATATGGTTCTTGTTCACAGAAAGTGCCATGCCCAGTCTGGCCCTAGACCAGGCAATGCAACGTCCCCAGAGCATCCACTAGTTGCCAAGTATATTACAAACAGCTGGTATTATCTTAAATTTTACAACAGTTTTACAATATTACCTTGAATTACAACATTGCCATACATTTTATAATAGCTTTTAAAGCATTAAATATTTTATTAAAATTATTTCATCAAATATGTGAGGTATATGTTATCAGAAGTGGAACCAGAAGCAGCAGTCTGCTGCTCTAGTTCGCAATGGTGACTAACATATGTAAGACAGCAGGACTTGAAACCACACCATAAACAACGCTCCAAACAAGTTTTAAGTGCATTCTTTTCGTCAAACTGACATGTTTCTAAAGAAAAAGAAATTAGTTGCTCTCTCCTCCCTACCAGCCAAGTTAATTCAATTAAAAAATCCAGCTTCAACTTTTTAACAATATACCCTCTCCAAACTGTGGCAGTAGATAACGTGAAGGCAAAAAACCCCAAACCCTGCAACAATCAGAAGTAACTGAGCTTATGAAAACAGGTGCTTGCATTAACAGACAACTAGTTACTATTTACTTCTCCCTATAACATCACATACTTGCATGTCTGCCTACACTGTGCCCAAGATCGCTCTTTATTTTTAAGAATAAGATGCCGTTTCCTTATATGTTTGGTCTCACACTTGATTTATTGTGTTATAGATGCAATGTGATTTCATTGCCTTGGCATCACTTAGAGTTACATAAAATCTACATTAAAATCAGTTGCTCAAATGGCTGTTCAATTAAAATATTTCCCACAAAATCCTATTTTCAAACAACTCTAAAACTTAGCTGCAAATTATTTAAGACTTGCCCAAGCCTCTCTTTCTAATGTATTAATTTCTGTGCAGACTGGAAGGAAACAAGCTATTTCTAAATGCTGGGTTCCTGTCAGTAGTACTTTTTCTACTACAAAATATTTCAAGCATTCTTTCAAATGAGGTATCTCAAAAGAATCTATTTCAGATTGTCTCAATCCAATTCTTACTGAAGAAACAGGGACCTCACAAATGAAACCCTCAGCAGCAAAATCTACTGAATGTGTTGCTGGTAGTTCTCTGCAGAGATACATGGTGTTTCCAGGTCAGAAAACTCAATCATACTATCATTCTCAAATGGAATCCTTGACATTTAACCATGAAATACTCTACTGCTCCTGCATTTTCTGCATGTTTTGTCCAGACACAGAATAGGAGATATCAATGCTTTCATTTAAATATTTTTTTTCAGAAGATCTCAATCCAATCTTTGCTTCGGTGTATTTCACGCTGTACCAAAACATTTCCCTTTTGTACTTGGTCTACCCTAGACAACTTCCGTACTACCCTTTACCATACTTACCTTTTAGATAGATAGCACTCAAACATTTTCACAGGGCATCTAGCTGGATCAGATGTGTTTTCAATTTGTTCAAACACTGGTTCATCATCTTCATGTTTCCTTTTTCCAGTAGTAATCTTATCTTTAAGAAGAAAATCAACATCTAAGCTATAACTTGAAGTTACTTTATATTTTTCAGTAAACTTCCCAGAGTTGGCAGCCCACCAAGTACCATGCTTTGTCCACCACAACTATGCATATCTGCAAACTGGAAATGCAACCCACAGCCAGAACAAAGTCACAGCATTTAGCATTGAAACCAGTGGGCTCAAAGCAGTCATTTAATGCAGAGAGCCTGTAGTCTCCTCGGACCACACATTCTTATTAAAGATCTGGGAGCTGAGAGCTGCTGAACTTTATGCAAAGGCAGACCTCTGGCTCCTGACAAAGTGCGCAGATGTCCCTCAGAGGAGTGCAATGTGGATGCTGCTGCAATACTAATTTTGAACTGCCATAGTACCTTCATTATCAGCTCTGCACAGGGAAGACACTTGATATCGAAGACAAGCTCTGCTTTCCTTTGTTAGAGGATTCTTTTTCCACTGTCTAAAAACAGTGCCAAAAGAAAGTCTTAAGTGCTGCTCCACTGTTTTCAGGCCAAAGTATTTAGTGTTAAAGTAGAACAGAGTATTCAGAAGAGCAACCGGTGAGTGCGATCCTAGCTGTTTAATCCTCCAAAGGTAATCCTCTTCAACTCTTGAGAATATTGATCCTTCAGAAAGAGAGAAAATACAATGGGTCAGCCCATAAACTGTCCCAGTGCAAAAGAATCAAGTTTTTGTTTACTGTTAATAAATGCTCATGATAGAAGAGTCTAATAAGCATATTTAATTACATGTCTACACCCCCAAAACCACCTCTTCAAGACACAGATACCCACCGTTTCAGGAAGAGACAGTCAGTGGGAAATACCAGTTTCACACAGAACACATTTCTGTTAAATTACAACAGCACTGCTGACATGCAGCACCCTCATGTTATTACTTAAAACCAAATGATCAAGGGTCTAATATTAATCCCTTCATTAAAAGTGTATTTTTGATTTCATTTTATGTTATTCTGTTCAGGCAAGGCCTCCAGTAAAGAGTCCTTCCAGTCCAGCTAAGAAAGGCTAAAATACACAGCTCATTAGCTCTACCCACATATAGCCCAGTGCCTGTCTGCTTCCCTGGGCAAAAAAAAAACTCAGACCAGGTAAAAAGTACAGGTTGAAGAGCTGCTGCTTATTCTACCTTTCCCTCCTAAAAATGGACAGTCAATTTAAGATTAACAAAAACCAACTCTTGCAGCATGGATTACCAAGAAACAAAACAATAATAAGAACAAAACAACTGAACTCTCAGATAATATATTTATGATTTTAATCAACTACTATCACAATGCATAAAGTGTTTGCATATACCTACATGCTTAAGAATACAGAACTATTGAGAGATTAAAAACATACATGACCAAAAAGAAAATTACCATCTGGAAGTATGCTTGGTTGCCAACTTTTAAGGATTTTATTTAATTCCTGTTCAAACGTCTGGTAGATTGGATCAATAAATATGTTGTCTTTTCGATTACTTCCATATAAATACTACATAAAAGAGAGAGACACAATATTTACAATTCCAGATTAGAACAACTCTGTACTACAGGATTATCCATACAGTGCTTGCACTTAAAAAAACCCCAAAACCCCACAGAAAACAAAAAAACACCAGTTTCTGAAAATAAAGGAATGACACTTTTCCAATATTTAGCAGTTAAAAGCCACAGCCAATATACCATACCTTGTAAATTTCTGACAGTATATGAATCACAGATTAATTACACCTCTAACATTTTTCTCTAAAATTTCCTGTGTGCAACATTGTCAGTGACTTGGGAGTCAATAAAAAACAAACAAAAAAAACCCAAAAAAAATATTAAAAAAACAACTAATTTATCTTTCCCTCCACCCAGATCTTCAAAGAAAAATAAAAACCAAACCAAACCACAAAAACCCCACAGAGTTATCAAGAATATCCTATTTTAAAAGTGAAATCTGAACACTGCTAGAAGCATCTTCAACACAGATTGGGAGCAAAAAAAACCCCAAACATATACATGTGGAAATTATATACAGCACTGCCTGTTCTGCAATCTGATTATCTTAACCCTCTTCACCTGACCAACAGAAACTCTCCTGAATGTTTACCAAGAAGGAACAACTGAGGGCTATACTAGTATTTGACATTTATCCTCTCTGGAGACATTTCTAAGAAGTGGAAGATTGGCTTCTTACATTTTCCAGTTCAGAGTTCTATTGGCATGAACAAGCCTGTTGCTAGTGAAGGCGATTAAAGTAACAGACATAAAAAACGTATAAATTTCTGGAAATGGCATCTCTTTCGGTACACATACCTGAAACAACATTAAACACAGCCTCACTGATACTGAGGCAGTTCAGCATTATCTTGAGTTCCTTGTCTTTCCACTTAGTTTTATAATCAGGAAAAAATATGATGGAATATACTCCCTAGAAGTTACCAGCACAACATCTTCATTTAGGTAACCATTTTATACATTTAACTAATTCTTCAAAGAACAAAATTCCCCAAAATGTGCTTGTTTCTATATGTATCAGTTTTGATTTTATGAAGCCATTCTAAACCAAACAACACAGCTTACTATAAGCTTCATGGGGTTTGCCCTTGTTCTCTGGCACATTTTTCCTCCATGAAGTTTCTTTTTTCTGGTTTGTATTAAACACTCACACTGAATGCCAGCAATGAAACTGAAGTAGAAGCATAGAATAGTTAGGGTTGGAAAGAACCTTAAGATCATCTAGTTCCAACCCCCCTGGCATAAGCAGGGACACCTCACACTAAACCATGCCACCAAGGCTCTGTCCAACCTGGCCTTGACCAATACCAAGGATGGACCATTCCCAACTTCCTTGGGCAACCCATTCCAGTGGGAATGGGTTTCATATGGGAGGTGCTCCAGTCCCCTGATCATCCTCGTGGCCCTCCTCTGGACTTGTTCCAACAGTTCCATGTCCTTTTTATGTTGAGGACACCAGAACTGCACACAATACACCAGGTGAGGTCTCACGAGAGCAGAGTAGAGGGGCAGGATCACCTCCTTCGACCTGCTGGTCATGGTCGTTTTCATGCAGCCCAGGATATGGTTGGCTTTCTGGGCTGCAAGCCCACACTGAAGCCGGCTCATGTTCAGTTTCTCATCGACCAACACCCCAAAGTCCTTCTCTGCAGGGCTGCTCTGAATCTCTTCTCTGCCCAGCCTGTAGCTGTGCCTGGGATTGCTCTGACCCAGGTGTAGGACCTTGCACTTGGCATGGTTAAACTTGATGAGGTTGGCATCAGCCCACCTCACAAGCGTGTCAAGGTCCCTCTGGATGGCATTCCTTCCCTCCAGCGTATCAACCGAACCACACAGCTTGGTGTCATCAGCAAACTTGCTGAGGGTGCACTCGATTCCACTGCCCAGGTCACCGACAAAATGTTGAACAAGACTGGTCCCAACACCGATCCCTGAGGGACACCACTCATTACTGGTCTCCAGCTGGACACTGAGCCATTGACCACAACTCTTTGCGTGTGGCCATCCAGCCAGTTCTTTATCCCGCAAGTGGTCCACCTATCAAATTGATGTATCTCCAATTTAGAGACAAGGATGTCGTGTGGGACAGTGTCGAACGCTTTGCACAAGTGCAGGTAGATGACATCAACTGCTCTGCCCCTCTCCATCAGTTTCATAGCCCCATCATAGAAGGCCACCAAATTGGTCAGGCAGGATTTCCCCTTGATTTCCCCTTAGTGAAGCCATGCTGGCTGTCACCAAGCACCTTGTTGTTTTTCATGTGCCTTAGCATGCCTTCCAGGAGAATCTGCCAGGAGATTTTTCCAGATGCAGAGGTGAGACTGACTGGTCTGTAATTCCCCAGGTCATCCATTTTCCCCTTATTGAAAATGGGGGTTATATTTCCCTTTTTCCAGTTGCCAGGAACTTCACCTGACTGCCATGATTTTTCAAATATGATGGAAGAGTGGCTTAGCAACTTCATTTGCCAACTCCTTCAGGACCCGTGAATGGTCCCATGGACCTGTGCATGTTCAGGTTCCTCAGATAGTCTCGAACCAGATCCTCTCCTATAGTGGGCCCAAGGTCTTCATTCTCACAGTCCCTGCATCTGCCTTCCAAGACTTGGGTGGTGTGGTCAGAGCCTTTGCCAGTGAAGACTGAGGCAAAGAAGTCATTCAGAACCTCAGCCTTCTCCAAATCCAGGGTAGCCACTTCTGGTAGTTTCCGGAGGGGGCCTACATTGTCCCTAGTCTGTCCTTTATTTGCTATATACCTATAGAAAGTAAGACTCAAAACTGATTCTAAACCAATGCCCACATAAGCCTGTGAGAAATCCACTAAAAATATTTGTTTCCTGGTTCAGAAGAAGTGTTTGGCTAAATCACTAGGTGCCTGCCTGACCATGCAACAAACTTTAAGAGTGGTATTTTTCAGAATCAGTACTTCAGAGTTACCAAAACTGTCATTGAACCATTTCTGGCTGGAAGCAGAACAATTTCAGCTGCACATGAACCTGAACTGAGATAATGTACCATTTCACGTAGGTACTTAAGTTTCCTGGAACAGATTTTCCAGTGTTTCCTTTAAGAAAAACAGTCATTTTACAAAGTCAAACTAACAACTGAAGCACTTCCCCTGTGCACAACCTGTATCGCACCCAAAAGCTCCAACCTGAGCCCTTAGCCACGGTGAATGCAGTAATTCTGTTTTTCTAAGAACTTCCACATTTTCTTCCTTTGAAGAGAACTCTTAAGTTAGCAAACCATTAATGATATTTGGCACAACTTTATCATTAAATGGCATCATTTAATCTCCTCTCAGCTGCTTCTGAGTTAAACAGAAAATAGCTTTTATGCAGTAGCAGTATTCTGTTTCAGTAGTACCCACATTGGGGTTGTCAGATGGAAAGGACTAAGAAAATACTATAAAGCAATGGAGTTCTGTTGCACATTACAACTACATTGCATTTAGTGTACCACTAACTTGTTTAAATCTGTTTCTTCAGAAGGGTAACACATGCCCATGTACATGCAATTTGGCATTAACACAGATGTTGGCTGCTACGTGTGTCAGCTCACAAGCGTACATGTTTCTGTCCCTCACTTGCTGTCTGCCTTCACGAACTGCAAACTCCACAGAATAGAACACATCTTCCTACCAGTCTGAGTAGCAGTGGCACAATTGGGCCAATGAAATGGTGCTGTTACTGTTACCTGAAATAAATACTGGGCACCAAGTATAACCTACGATCACAGTAAAATGTTGTTCCTCTAATGTTTCAGTGTTGTGTATGTGCATTAGGGCTCACAATTATGTTGTGCCACACAAACTTTGGTTCTGATGAGCTAAACAAACACCAATGAAGTTTTTACAACTAACTTTCACAGCAGACAGAACAATGTTAAGGCACAAAGAAAAAAGTATTAGTTGAGTTCCATTTCATAAAGACATACCTCACCCTGTGTATTGTTTATTAGCTTACTGTATTTTCAGTTCAACAGACAGATACAGAGAGATAGTATATCATGCAAGTGAAGAAGCAGAAAGCTAGTTGAATTTGAAACATACCTTGTATCAATATTAACTAAAATGCCAAACAATGAATGTTCGCTTCTCAAATTTCAACTATGAGGAAAAGATCATTAATTCTGTATACTTTCAATACAGAAAAATTAGGGGAAGTACCATTTATTTTAAGAAGATTGTGATTTTAAAATTTGTTGATTCATGGTCTCTGCCTTAAGTATGAGACCATTTAAGCAGGATTGCAAAGCCTATGCACAGCTTGCTTTCCACATCATACACATTTTTTGTTGAATTAATTTTTGTGCTCTGAACACTGCTTATTTTTATCTATGATTTGCCTCGTGTACCAAAAATTAACACATCCTCTGCTTAAAAGATCAGCTGTGGAACTGGTTTTCTAATTAGCTAGTATTATGTTATTATTGCCTTTACATACAATGCATCTAAACTGGCTCCCTTTATCTTCAAAATTTAATATAGTTACAATTCAGGGGCAGGGTGTGTGTAAGACAGTCAATATAGCAGAGCTTCCTACACTCCACAAAAAAAGCCTGACTTTGACAGTCTGCAGTATTCAGTGAATTAAGACTCTCCCAAAAGGACACTTCAGATAGCTTGTTTCTACTATATGCTAAGTAATTGAATTAGTATAACATTCACAGATCATGCCTTGTTTCATTCTGGTTTTACATTAAGCCATCTTTAGCGAACAAAATGAAGCACAGCATCTGGAAAAAACTATGCTATTTTAGACTGCAAATTCTTTGCTTCAACCAAGCAAGAAGCTTAAGATTATTACAATATACCAATCTGCATTTGAGTTTTCAAGACGGTTCTGCAAACTCATTTTCTATACAGATGGTTTTCTACAATGTGATTTACACATCAGCCTGTGTTATGTTAACAGCTCCTAGCCAATAAATCTACATGATCTTCATTTTTTCACTGAAGTGGCTTAGAGTCAAATAAGCAGCTCTGCTTCCCACCTCTACAGCTTTTACTAACCTCCTGAATCCCAAGACACAGGTAATAGATGCTGTCAGGTGCATAGTTCTCTCCATTTGGCCTTCGAATTTCATTGACAAAATGTGTCAATCCATAGTTTAACTCAGCTGAAGTATGTGATAATAGATCTTCCTTTAATTTCACAGACTTTGCTGTAAAATGGAGAAAAAATGCTACATTATACAACAGAATTTTTACACAAGGAGGGCGAGAGGTGGTATTTTTGGACTGGAAAGTGGAAAACTGGCTTAATGTCCTCTCCACTACCCTATGAATGAGTCTTAATGTACTAAGCAGTTGAAAGGTTAGGTCTGTATCAAAGGGTACTAGAGTTAAGTTCAGTTAGCCAAATACAGTATCACCCACTGATGAACATGCTGTCATGCACAGCTGAGGATGACAAGGAAGTGGCCCAAGACGCTGAAGATAGTGCTGTAGAGGGAGACCTTCAGGGGAAACAGCTGTTTCCAAAGATTCAACAGTATTACACAAAAGTGCTCAGACATGTGGGAGCTGAAGAACAGCAGGAGTAGCAGCAATCTCCCTTCTCCATCATCATACAAATGTACACACAGAGGAGCACTGCAGAAAGAGCAGCAAGGCTCCACAGGAACAAAGGCCACCTCATGTCAGAGCTCCACAGCCAGGTAATGCTAGCCTCAGATGAAGATCTCTTTCCAAGAGAAAGGGTAGGATGGCTCTTCCTTGCAATTTAGAAGTCCAGAAAACAGGTGAGCTTCAAGGTGAGTTAGAATATGGGGAAAACCAGCATGCAAACAAAAAAAAAATAAATCAAAATTGTCACAGAAAGTGAGAAGAGCCCGAAAATCGCTGTCCTGGCTTGCAGAAGCAGTGTGAGCCCCAGCATTCTGAACCAAGTAGGGAAAGCTTGGCAAGAAAAGAAAAAGTTTGGCAACTCTGTGGTAAATAATTCCAGTCATTGTGGGAACATGAGTGACATGTGGAAACTCGTATTAAAAATTCCAGCTGGAAATCAGGTGAGTATGGTAACTCTCCCCACCAAGTAAGAATCTGGATGCCAAATTTTTGATAATACTTACTTGATTTCAGTTCCTCTAATTCTGGAAGGTCTTCATTTAAATACCGAGACTTCACCCAGTGCTTCCATGCATTTACACCGTATGCGTATTTGAATGGAAAACTACACTCTGAGTTTTCAGAGCTGTCATCGTGAGACTGGTATTCTGACACTGCTTTCCTCTTCACTCCCTGCCATTGAAACACAGTGGTTAACACTGCCAATAGCAGGAACACAGAAGCTGAGCAGAATAAGCAAACTGCGGGTCAAATTACAAACCGAATGTTCTATGTAAAGCAACATGTGCTTCAGTCAATAGTTTCTGTGTCATTCTTCTAAGGACAGTATTTCTTAAGATGACAGACATTTTTAATTCGCCTTTCAAACTGGTTCCTAACACAGCGATTTTGGTAATGGAGTTGCTGTATTGGTTATACTGTATTAAGCAACAAACACGATGCACCAAATAATTCAGTGTGCTTCCAGGATTTAATTGTGTTAATGTGCAGAAAGTTAAAATTCCTCCAAATCTATGTCAGAAGGTCAGTTTTTAGGGTCAACTGAACCCATCAAAGGAAAAGCCAGAACTGGTCCCAAACGAAAGCATGTGCAGCAGTGGATATATGAATAATGTCCAGCAGATAATGCCAACAGGCTGGATTCTGAATTTAAAACTAGAAAGACACATTTATTCTTAGAAAGTTTTTAAGAAGTTGGCTGTTTTTTTCTTAAATTTGCAATATCCACTGCAGTTACTGCAACAAAACCATTTCAACATTGTGCCAGGCACCAGAAACTCTATTTCCTGTTAGCTTCCTTCTAAATAAAAGAATATGGCCAATTTATCCACAACATGTAAGCTAAGATTTTTGACTGAAAATAAAATCTGGGAAAATTACAAACAAATAAAAATGTTTTAAAGAGCTGTTTTATACAGGATATGCTATAGCTGCTGTTATAAGCCACGGTGATGCCAACATTCCTCCATTTGACTATCAAATTAAACCAGTACAGCTTTGTTTGAAGTAGAAAAGCAAGTACATATACATTAGCACATTACATTGACAGTTCTACCAATGTGAAGCAAAAACAGGCTCAGAATTTAAAAAACATGTAACACAAAGATAGGATATTAGGCACGAATAGGCAGTACCAGGTTTTAGAGCAGTATGGGAACTGAAGCAAAAACCCACAAAACCTGGCATATTTTTGCTCACTTAAGATTTTGTTCTTTTTGGATTTAATAGGATGATGGAACTACCTTCTTTTTGGACCGAGGCCTTGGCTGCTCCTCGTACTCTTCCCCAAAAACAGGAGGTAACAAAAACTCATTTTCTGTATCAAGCTCCTCAGTTGCTGAAAATACATTAACAGAAACTTATTTCTGAACATCTTCTGAATGGAATTGGTTTGAAAAACCCCACAATTAACTATATTAATGTGCATTAACATAAGGGGTCCACAATAGCACACATATAAACATTATCAAAGACTGGATTTGAGTAAGAGGAAATAAACCTTATTTTGAAAGTAAAGCAAAGCTATCAAAATATGTACCTCTAAATAAACTGTGAAGGACACAACACTCAACATTTTCAAACTATCTGAAGTCACTAAGGCAGCACTTCTTACTATGGACCCTTACACAATTCTTCTCCTAGGCAGTCTTTGGTATCAGGAAGTTTAAGTTATGAGCAGCTGTGAGTGAAAAAATTACTACACTTAGTACACGCACTTTTGCTCATGTATTGACATCATTTCTATTCAAGTTTTATATCTGATATAGCATATTATATTTGGCTAAAAACATTAAGAATCACAACATAGGACAGGTAGGCTCTGTCCAACCTGGCCTTGAACACCGCAGCTTCATTGGGCAATCTGTTCCAGTGCCTCACCACTCCCACAGTAAAGAAATTCTTCCTTGTATCTACTTAGATCTCCTCTTTTTAAGATTAAGCCCACTGATCCTTGTCCTAACACTACAGACCCCCTCCAGTATCTTTTCAGGCCCCCTTCAGATACTGGAAGGCTGCAATGAGGTCTCCACGCAGCCCTTCCTTCTCCAGGCTGAACAGCCCCAACTTTCCCAGCCTGTCTTTGTATGGGAGGTGCTCCAGCCTCCTTTGTCATCCTCGTGGCCCTTCTCTGGACTTGCTTCAACAGCTCCATGTCCTTCTTATGCTGGGGACACCAGAATTGTACACAATACTCCAATTGAGGTCTCATGAGAGCAGAGGGGTAGAATCACATCTTTCGACCTGCTGGTCACACTTCTTTTGATGCAGCCCAGGACATGGTTGGCTTCTGGGCTGTGACTGCAAACTGCTGGCTCATGTTTAGTTTCCTATCTTCTTTCTCAGAAGCACATCAGTGTTAATCGATACCTATCACAAACTCCTATTATTTACTACTGCACTTTATTTTTCTTTTTCCCCATGATTTTACTTTCCCATATACCAAGCCTCACTTACAAATAGGGTCTAGTATGCACCTGGCTAATAAACTTCATAAGACTAAGGTAAGACTAACCCCTAGACCTGAACTATAAATTAGACACACAGCAAACTGAGAAAGCCAGTATGGGCATCCAGTGGGGGTATCTATGACAAAAGGCAAAAGGAAACTTCCTACATGAAACAGAGAAGCTATCCATGGGAGGTATGAGAGTTGTATATCCAAGAGAAGCTATGTCAGGGGAGACACTAGCTACTGCTAGGATTGCTTAGGACATGGTATAAGGGAACAGACACTGTTGCCTGCATTCTGTAGTGTGCTAGAAACTGTGATACACAAAACCAAGACCTTATTAAAGGTCTCAAAGTAGTGATTTTCCTGCCAATTCAAATAATCCTACCTTCTTTAAATAGAGGTACGGATATTAACAAGATACTAAAAGGAAACACAAGTGCAGCTTATTAGCTTGCAATGTTCTAATAAACTTGAGTTTATTTCCCATGGAAATAAGTATCTGATGTTTGAAGAATGAATTCATTATCGTTTTCTATGACAACTGACTCGTTGAGCTTCCAAAACAGCTTTCCTATGTCTATAACAGTGATGCTGCCAACTTTGTAAAAGGTTAATTCCCCCTTTTCTTTGCATTCTCTTGCAAATACTGTACTTAGAAAGACGGAGGAACTAATTCAGAAGTCCCCACTCTTGCAATGGCATGGCAAAGTTTTAACTAACAGTCAGTTAAGTGGATTTTGCAAACAAATAAAGCTCCTCTGAAAGGATGATGAAACAAGGTATGACGGTTGCCCACAATATCTATTTCATGATGTTTATTAAAATGGCAGATTCAATACCTCTTGGAAAGTCTATTTCAATATCCAGGTCTGGTTCATATGGAACATCAGGCAAACTCGTCCGTGCTTCTGTTTCTGAGTTCAGTAGATTTGACTCAACTATCACACCTGTTAAAAAAAAAAAAAAGTTCCTGTTACTTTAAGTAGCACATGGATTAGTCAAAACAGGGCAGATTTAGAACTTTAGAAGCTTAGTGGTTCTAAAGTTGCTTGTTCTGTGTATCACCATCTTAGGTTTTGTTGCTCTTGTATTCTTGGGATCTCAGATTTACTTCTTCAACCCAATTTCCTTCACGCATGTAAGATACTAGTCCATCTGTCCTTCTTCAGTAAGATGGGCCAGCAAAGCATGTGTACAGAAAATCAAATGCTGGAGAATCTGGATCATATCAACCAACCACAGAATGCAAACAAAACCAAACCTGACAAACCCTATTATCTATTTTTCTACATGATTCTGCCTGCAACAGAACAGACTTTCAAGTCCATGGAAGATCCCAAAAAAGCGAACATGGCAAGCAGGCAGTGACAGCTGGCACAAGCAAAGGGAATGCCTGCATTTTTAAAAACAAAGGTCTGGTACAGCACAGTGAAGGTACACAACTGACTTCAGAAAGTTTTCTGTATTTCAAATGTGCTAAAATGATCTTTGAAAATGTTTAAATAATTTATATTTCAACTTAACATAGGAATTCAATAATAGCATTGTTGTACTCAATCTTTCTCTAAAATAGTTAAAAAAAAACCCCCAACAAGCAACCCTTCTCTTGATTCACACACCCCCTCACATACACCCCACCAAGCCAAAGAGTCAAAAACTCAGCAGGAAACTCACTGGTCACATCAGAAGCTTCAGCTTTTCCATGTTCAGGCACCATCTCTGACAAGTTCAGCAGCTCAGTTTCTAGAGGATTTGAGGGCACTTTTCCCCTCAGCTCTTCTATTGCTGCTAGGATTTTCTCACTGCTATCCAGAGTAGTGGACAAGAAAACTGGAACTGGCACCTATGCAGACAGGGAGGGAAAAGATAATTAGAAAAAAACCCCCTTCTGCAACAAAGCATCTACAGCAGCCAACACAGAAACAAACTATACCCCTCTTCTAAAAGACACAGTTAATACAAATTATAAACATATCACCTCAGTGTGGTCTAACAAAAAAAATGTTCAGAAGTTAAAAAAAAAATCAATATAAACAACTGAGAACAGAAGGGAAAGCAGGAAAGGATACAACTAAAAATTAAATATTATACAATATATTGGGTTAGAGTAAGAACAGAAAGGACTTCTGAGGTTCAAACCTGTCTGACCATAAATTCAGATTAACATTTTGGGCAAATCATCATCCTTTTTCAGTGGCTTCCTTGTGAGACATGGAATTTTAGGAATTCTGGGGGTTTTGTCCACCATCTGGATGAGATTTGGTACATAAGTGAAATTTGTAACCACTTAAGAGTTATTTTCTTTTGCTGGCAGAAGGTTAAGTTTTTTCACTTCCTCCTGTTTCGACCACTATTCCATCCCTCCCCACGACAATCCTTTCAATTGCCTTGTTACCAGCATGAATCTTGCTATTTAACAGAATCATAGAATAGTTAGGGTTGGAAAGGACCTTAAGATCATCAAGTTCCAACCCCCCTGCCATGGGCAGGGACACCTCGCTCTAAACCATATTACCCAAGGCCTCGCCCAACCTGGCTTTGAACACCACCTGGGATGGAGCATTCACAACCTCCCTGGACAAGCTATTCCAGTGCCTCACCACAATAACAGGAAAGAATTTCCTCCTTATATCCAATCTAAACTTCCCCTGTTTAAGTTTTAGTCCATTACCCCTTGTCCTACCACTACAGTCCCTAATGAAGAGTCCATCCCCAGCATCCCTATAGGCCCCCTTCAGATACTGGAAGGCTGCTATGAGGTCTCCACACAGCCTTCTCTTCTCCAGGCTGAACAGTCCCAACTTTCTCAGCCAATCTTCATACAGGAGGTGCTCCAGTCCCCTGATCATCCTCGTGGCCCTCCTCTGGACCCATCCATGTCCTTTTTATGTTGAGGACACCAGAACTGTACACAATACTCCACGTGAGGTCTCACGAGAGCAGAGTAGAGGAGCAGGATCACCTCCTTCGACCTGCTGGTCATGCTCCTTTTGATGCAGCCCAGGATACGGTTGGCTTTCTGGGCTGCAAGCGCACACTGAAGCGGCTCATGTTCATTTTCTCATCGACCAGCACCCCCAAGTCCTTCTCCGCAGGGCTGCTCTGAATCTCTTCTCTGCCCAGCCTGTAGCTGTGCCTGGGATTGCTCTGACCCAGGTGTAGGACCTTGCACTTGGCATGGTTAAACTTCATGAGGTTGGCATCAGCCCACCTCACAAGCATGTCAAGGTCCCTCTGGATGGCATTCCTTCCCTCCAGTGTATCAACCGAACCACACAGCTTGGTGTCATCAGCAAACTTGCTGAGGGCGCACTCAATCCCACTGTCCATGTCAGCAACAAAGATGTTGAACAAGACCAGTCCCAACACCAGTCCCTGAGGGAAACCACTCGTTACTGGTCTCCAGCCGGACATTGAGCCACTGACCACAACTCTTTGCATGCGGCCATCCAGCCAGTTCTTTATCCACCGAGTGGTCCATCCATCAAATTGATGTCTCTCCAATTTAGAGACAAGGATGTTGTGTGGGACAGTGTCGAACGCTTTACACAAACCCAGGTAGATGACATCAACTGCTTTACCACTCTCCATCAGTTTGTTATTTAACAAACTCAAAAGTACCACTCAGAACTGTTCCTAAAAAGATCATCAGCAGGAGGTAGATAGGTCCTAAGGAACAATCAGGACACTAACTGCCACTGTCAGATTTCTAATACTTTTTCAATAAATAGTGCTGCAGCATCCTGCAGTGGTTTAGATGGACCAGAATGAGAACAACCAACAATACATAGTGGTCCCTCACACACATGTGAATGGATGCCAATTTAAAAGTGAAGCTGAAGTGTTACTTACAGGAACAGGAACTGTTGCAGGAACAGGAACCTTCTGACTATACATGTTCATAGGCACAGGAACATAGACAGGTACAGGAATAGGCACTGGGATATACTCTTTTTTCCAATCATCTTCTATTAAAAGAAAAAAGAAAAAGGCAAACACTGCCAGGTACTTAAATATATTTTACACCTGCAGTTTAGGGGAAAAAAAAAATCAGAGTATTTGCAGTATGTTCGAAGACAGACTGAAAAAATCTGCAGTGAAGAAATGAGTAGCTCCAGTACAGCTCAAGAGTTACCTGTCTGACAAGATTTTGTCTGCATATGAGGTTTACAGTACGTGGCTTTCGTCATCGTCAAAGGCTTGCAAAGAACTGCCTTGTTCTTCATTTCTCTGTTAGGTGTTGGAGAAGGTGGTGGTGCTGAACCCTACAGACAGGCAAATAAAAGAGATTGCACTGTTGCACCACACTGATTTCAACACAAAATTTGTGATTTAATGTATCAGTTAATACTTTTCCTCTATGAGATACTGGACAGGGAGCTCACAACAGCACAACATAACAGCACCGTTATTCTTTAATTGCAAGCTACTGTGTATTTCTAGTAAGGAGCTGCCAGTGCCAGGAATTTAACATAGCTGTATTTTGCTCAGCCAGGGATACCACTTTGATATTTTTTTTTTAATGTTTAAATGCAGGTGCAATTTAAGCTGATTTCTAACTTTAAAAATAATTTTAGCTGTAAAGAGAATTCACTCTAAGTAGCATAAGAGACTGCTGGCTCAAGGTCCAACCGTCTTGAACTATGCTATCAGCCAAAGATTGCATTTAAAAAAACAATGTAATTCTAAATAAAATACCTCTGAACATTTTAATTCCTAAGGCACGAACTTCGAGCCCCCCCTGCTGGCCCTACAACAGTGACAACAAATAACTTTGGAACATAACATTATGCTCAAACTGCCACCTTACAGTTAAGTGGTTAAAAGCCTCTTGCCCCAGACGTGATTTTGTCCCCTAATACCTGTCTTAGAACCTGACTGAAGAAACTTTTATTTAGTCATATGTATTAGTATCCCCACATACTGTTTTAAATATGGAAAGTCCTGTCATAAGAATAGCAACTGACCTTCACTTTCTAAAATATATTAAAAAAGCTTGTATCACACATAGCTTTTGTATGATCTTCAGAAGGTTTGGACTGAATTAGCATCACTAACCATAAAATACTGATGTTTTTAGCATGACAGTTTAGCTCATCTGATGTCTCCAGTTACATAAGTAATCTTATTTCCCGTGGTTTTCATTAACTTATTTTATAATGACATCAAAATACTTTCAATTAAATCAAAGATTTACCTTACAAAATATATTTGGACTAAAAGGGTGAGTCAATTTTTTCATGGAAAACCAGACAGTTTTGAGTTCCAACAAAAACAAAACAAAACTAAGGTTTTTTTTTAAATGAAAAAAGAAAAATTTTGACAAGCTGAAGAAAACTGAAACTCAGAATGAAGGCTGCTGCTCCACTGACAAACCCCACCCTCCCAGACTGTGATCCTCCAAAGGGTTACACTTCCCTACTGTCACCTGCAGCCAAGTCAATCAGACCTTGAACACTAATTATTCTACTCTTAGGAGTTACAATTTAAGATCTGAAGCTTTATTTTCAGCCTGTCAAAGCTGAAATACAACCATAATATCCTAATTGACCAGTGAAATGTTCTTCCCTTTCTACACTCCATATATACACCTGATCAGTCTAAACATGTGAATAAGATACACGTAGTTTGTGGATTAACTTCTAAGCAATACTTTTATGTACTATAGACGTAAAATACACAGTTGATGATTTGGTTTCCCAGAAGACACTGGAAAGACAAAGTATGAGCATTTAAATATTTAATTTCAACTACTGACTAAATAACTATGAAAGTTTATCTAAGTATCATTCAAAGATACTGTATTTTTTTATTTTTAATAGCAACCCTTTAAGCCACCAGGATCTCACATTTTAAATGGATCTAATTGTATTTTCTATATATTACATATATGTACTTACTGTTATTTTTGTCCTGGGGGTTTGACAGCCCTGATCTAAAAATATAAGAAAACATTTTTAGACATGTTTTTCCCTTTTTCAGAATTAAAGCAAATTTCAGTAAGCAACTCTGACAACATTTATCATCAGGATAACATTAAATTAACAACACTGATTAGTACTGTATCGCAGATGAGAACAGCACACAAGAGTTCTCATTCACAGGCACCTCACCACTCCAGCACTGAACCTTACCCAAAGGCAAAAGCTAAATCAATGCTCCACCCAGATGTGAATATAACCTCTTTCAAAAAAGTAAATACCAAAACATTCAAATATAAAAAGGGCCATACAATAAAGTTGTGTTGCTGTAATTACATTAATTAAAAATTGATTTATTTGAACTTTGGCTGACTTGCCATTTAAACCATGTAAACATGCATCCAGCCTCCATCACCAAATTTACACAGTACCCACAGCCAACAGAAAAAAAATATTAAAAACCAAACCAAAACAAAAAAGCAGCGTATTCCTCTTCTCTGTTTTAATTCCACTTTGATTTAATTTGCATTTATTTCCTTTTAACTCCTTTCTTTTTTCATTCCTAGTGCATTTATCAGCTCCCTGTGACCAAAGCACATTTTGAAAGAAGTGTTTCCACAGAGCAAGTAGTAACAAACCAGAGCACAATGAAAGAGGAAACATGTTGTCCCTGTGATAATACAACACTAAAATTATGCTTAACCTACAAAGAAGATTTTATTTATTTTTTTAAAGTGATTACAAAACTGTCTGATTACCTGACAAGATTTCATGTCTCAAGCCATATAAAGAGCTAACATAAAAAACACCAAGCAGCTCCATGATGCCTCTGATGATAAATAGGATAATCTCTAATACAGTTTACTACAACAAACAGATGACATACAGCTTTGAATTTTTCATTTAAAGCAAACATTTCATCTACCATTTAGGAGCCAGAAAGCAGCACATACCGTAGTGTAAGTTCTCAGGTCCTTTTTGGGTTGCCAGATTTGGTTCGTTTTGTTGACAGTAGAAACGGAGCAAACAGTGCTGATCACAGAAGTGTTTCATTTCACCACGCCACTGCACTTTCTCTTTGAGAGTTCCTTGAGACTTACAACAGTCACATCGCGCAGCCTTAATGAAAAGAAGATTTTGACATTTTTAAATGAACCTTGGAAAAAAAAATTCTACATTTTAAAAGGTTATGGTTTTAAGAGTACTGAAGAAATAGTAACTGCTATATAGTTGCCTCGCTCCTGTTGGCTCTACGATAGCTACCCCACCTGTTAATCCATATATATAGACTTATCTAGCAGTTTATTTTCAACTGTTTGCTAGGGATTAACTCCCAGAATGATTCTGCTTTGTTTCACTAAGTCTTTAAGTATTGCTCACTTCTAGATAGTAAGCAAAAGATTCATTTCATACATTAATTTTTATTATCTCTACTGTAGCATTCTGCAAAGAAAGCCAGTAGAAAGTGACTGAGACTCCTTAATGAGGCTCTTGAACTGAGAACGAGTAGAGTCTGTTTCCCCTCCTCCCCCCCAAGTTCTGGGGTTTCAGGCACAAACAGAACCACTTCTCTATGTATCAAATCAGAGACCCTTAGTAACATTTATATTTTCATTATTTAGGTAGTTTGACAATTTTAGAATCCAATTATTTGGTTCTTCAAAGCTTCTCTATGATTTATAAACAACAATAGGTCTTAAAGTAAAGAGGTTACACAAAATCTAGTTAGCATGTAACTTGAAACTCAAACCTTTGTTTTTTAATGTTTAGCTAGGGATTCAGAAAAGTAATGTATCTTTCACCAGCCTACCTAATTTCATGAGGCGTAGCTAAGACAGACACTGGTTTTTTTTCCTCTAGATTCCACAGAACTTATTCAGCCATGCTATAAATTATCATCAATTGTGGCGGTAGCCACAATTTCAGATGCTCAAATAAGTACTACTGCTCGCCCTGATATCGCTTGCAACCTGCACACTGAAGCAGTCCTTAAAAACAAACAAACAAAAAAAAGGCTTCATGGATGCTCAGGAATCCAAAATAAGTCAACCTAATAACAGAGCCAGGAGAGGAAGAGGGACGTTACGATACTATGCAACATAAAACATTAATACATAAAACCATACACAACATTGCAGTTACGCACAAGGATCTGACAGCTCTGGGGGAAAAAAAGTCCAACTACAGCTCTTATGACTTCAAAAAGAGTACAAACAGGACGATTAGTTCAAATTTGCAAAGTAACTAAACGTTAAGTTTCTTCTCTGCAATTTCACAACCCAGCACCATCCTCTGGCAACATAGGAAATTCAGCTCTCAGTTACAATTTTCAAGTATTTAAGATGATGTATGGAGAGACTCAAGTCTAACAGTATAACCCAGCAATAAAGCTGTGGCTTCAGGATCCCCTCACACTAAACATCAGATGCCCTGGCAGGTCAGGTACTTTTTTTCCTCCCTTCTTTGTCAGCAGTAGTGCTTATGTACCAGCAGGGTACACAAGGTCAGCACTGCATCACTCCCATCCTTCCTCAATGTCTGTTAAATTTGTCACTTCTGCTGATGCTGATTCACAGGTCATTTTGCAGCACAGATGTTCTCAGTTGGACAAAAGAGCACGTAAGATGCATTCTTGGGAGTGGGGAAGAAGATGGAGTGTTGCCAAAATAGCCTAGATTTATCAGCTCAGGGAAACTGTGAATTCACACCTTCAAGGCAAATGCATCTTTCCAAAGCCACCAAAAGGATGAAATAGCAGTAAAAAAACAAAACCCAACCAAACAAAAAGCAACAACAACAAAAAAAACCCCCACAAACAAAACAAAAAAAAACCCACAACCAAACCGTACAGTTCCTTCTAATTTTAAATCTCAAGCCCACCCAAGAATGTCAGCTTACCCACATGCAGAAAAGCCCACCTATTGTGACCTGCAGCACTTTGCTTGACTATTAAAGCACCACTTTCTGCTCAATGTTTTATCTCCATCAAAGAAAGAAAAAGGTGACAAATCTCGTTAAACACAGCACCTCTAGCCTTCTTGCAACTGTTTCTGCCTTTCCTGGTTCTGCTCTTTTGCTTATGCCTTTGAATAAGAGTATCTTTATCTTTCCTGGGCAGCTAATAAAGCATTTACATGAAAAAAAAAATACCTGCCTTGCTTCCACACAGCAATTACTATTCCTTAGCAAGCCCAAGATTCCTTTACAAAAGATGCTTCACGTCTCATCCCTACATTTGGTAGGCTGTAATTCTATTTAAATAATCTTGCTTGCAGTTAATACTATACATTGTCCCATGCACTACAGCTCCTACTTGTTCTCCCCACTTCCCTGACCATGAAATTAACTGAAAGCAAAAGCGTGATCTGCCTTTTCCTTCCTTGCCTCCCCTATCCATTTGTTTCCATTCAGGACGGCACCACTATACGTTAAATATCTTCAAAATACCTGCCTTCAAATCTTTTACATCTGTGCTTTCAAAAAGTCCATCTATAATCTCTGTATTTCAATTTCACATAACACCTTTGAGACTCACGCCTGGTTTTTGGTCCAGTTAGATTCCCAGATACAATTTCAACATCTTCAAATCAGTGTAGTAAATAAACACCTTTTTTAAAATGAAATTGAGGACAAAAATTAACGTTTTCACTTAAACCCATAGAATAATATAAGAATTAGGGTTGGAAAGAACCTTTAAGATCATCTAGTTCCAACCCCCCTGCCATGGGCAGGGACACCTCACACTAAATGATGCCACCCAGGGCTTTGTCCAACCCAGCGCTGAGCACTGCTAGGGATGGAGCATTCACAACTTCCCTGGGAAACCCATTCCAGTGCCTCACCACCCTAAGAGGAAAGAACTTATTCCTTATATCCAATCTAAACTTCCCCTGTTTAAGTTTTAACCCACTACCCCTTGTCCTGTCACTACAGTCCCTAATGAAGAGTCCATCCCCAGCATCCCTATAGGCCCCCTTCAGATACTGGAAGGCTGCTATGAGGTCTCCACACAGCCTTCACTTCTCCAGGCTGAACAGCCCCAACTTTCTCAGCCTATCTTCATATGGGAGGTGCTCCAGTCCCCTGATCATCCCCGTGGCCCTCCTCTGGGCTTGTTCCAACAGTTCCATGTCCTTTTTATGCTGAGGACACCAGAACTGCACACAGTACTCAAAGTGAGGTCTCACAAGAGCAGAGTAGAGGAGCAGGATCACCTCCTTCTACCTGCTGGTCACACTCCTTTTGATGCAGCCCAGGATACGGTTGGCTTTCTGGGCTGCGAGCACACACTAAAGCCAGCTCATGTTCATTTTCTCATCGACCAAAACCCCCAAGTCCTTCTCTACAGGGCTGCTTTGAATCCCTTCTCTGCCCAGCCTGTAGCTGTGCCTGGGATTACTCTGACCCACGTGTAGGACCTTGCACTTGGCATGGTTAAACTTCATGAGGTTGGCATCAGCCCACCTCACAAGCGTGTCAAGGTCCCTCTGGATGGCATTCCTTCCCTCCAGTGTATCAACCGAACAACACAGCTTGGTGTCATCAGCAAACTTGCTGAGGGCGCACTCAATCCCACTGTCCATGTCACCAACAAAGATGTTGAACAAGACTGGTCCCAGCAGCGATCCCTGAGGGACACCACTTGTCTCCAGCTAGACATTGAGCCATTGGCCACAACTCTTTACACGTGGCCATCCAACCAGTTCTTTATCCCCCAAGTGGTCCATCCATCAAATCGATGTCTCTCCAATTTAGAGACAGGGATGTCGTGTGGGACAGTGTCCAACGCTTTGCACAAATCCAGGTAGATGACATCAACTGCTCTAGCCCTCTCCATCAGTTTCGTAGCCCCATCATAGAAGGCCACCAAATTGGTCAGGCAGGATTTCCCCTTAGTGAAGTTATGCTGGGTGTCACCAAGAACCTCATTGTTTTTCATGTGCCTCAGCATGCCTTCCAGCAGAATCTGGCAGGAGATTTTGCCAGGCACAGAGGTGAGACTGACTGGTCTGTAATTCCCCAGGTCATACATTTTCCCCTTCTTGAAAATGGGGGTTATATTTCCCTTTTTCCAGTCATCGGGAACTTCACCTGACTGCCATGATTTTTCAAATATGATGGACAGTGGCTTAGCAACTTCATTCTCCAGCTCCTTCAGGACCCGCAGATGGATTTCATCAGGTCCCATAGACTAGCGCACATTCAGGTTCTTCAGATGGTCTCGAACCAGATCCTCTCCTACAGTGGGCCCAAGGTCTTCATTCTCACAGTCCCTGCATCTGTTTCAGAAGACTTGGGGGTGTGGTCAGAGCCTTTGCCAGTGAAGACTGAGGCAAGGAAGTCATTCAGAACCTCAGCCTTCTCCAAATCCAGGGTAGCCAGTTCTCCTGATAGTTTCTGGAGAGGGGCCATGTTGTCCCTAGTCTGTCTTTTATTTGCAATGTAACTATAGAATCCCTTCCTGCTATCTTTCACATCCCTAGCCAAATTTAATTCTGAGGCTTAGCTTTCCCAACCTGGTCCCTAGCTTCACAGACAATATCCCTGTATTCTTCCCAGGCCACCTGTCCTTGCTTTCACCTTCTATAAGCCTCTTTTTTCCCCTCTAAGTTTCCTCAGCAGCTCCTTATCCATCTAAGGACATCTCCTGCCCTCCTGCCACATTTCCTTCTAGTCAGGATGCAGTACTCCTGAGCTTGTAGCAGGTGATCCTTGAATATCAACCAACAGTCTTGGGCCCCCTGCCCTCTAGGGCTTTATCCCATGGAACCTTACTAAGTGGGTTCCTGAAGAGGCCAAAGTCTGCTCTTTTGAAGTTCAGGGCAGTGAGCTTGCAGCACGCTCTTCTCATTGTCCTGAGCATCAGGAACTCGACCATCTCATGATTGCTACAACCAAGGCTGCCCTGGATTGGACATTTCCAACCAGCCCCTCCCTGTTGGTGCGCACAAGGTCAAGCATGGCACCTCTCCTTGTCAGCTCCATTACTTGCAGAAGGAAGTTGTCTTCCACACAATTGAGGAATCTCCTGGATTGCTTGCGCTGGGCTGTACCATCCCTCCAACAGATATCACGGTGGTTGAAGTCTCTCATGAGAACAAGGGCCTGCGAGCATGAGACTGTTACTACCTGTCTATTGAGTGCTTATACTTCTATAGAGCATTTATACAGACAGCACTGAACATAGGGGGGTTTATTTACTTTTTTTAATCCTCCAATGACCTGCTCCTAAACATTCTCCGATGAGCTGGACTGCTATTTACTTGACCTCATCTTAGCTGTCTATTCTGAGTTCAATCCACAGTAAATAGGAAACAAGATACTTCCAGATAGTGAATGATTTTAAGAGAAAACCAACTGTTCTGAAACAGCACCTACTTGAAATTGAGACGCCTTACTACACAATAGCAAAATTTGAACAAGACAAATACAACAAGGTTGTCTTGCTGCCTTTACCATTTAGATAAATAATGGGTCCATTGTTTCAAATTTTACTGCTGTTGACAATCACTGCTATCTAATCTCACCAGCCACAATAATTTTTCTATGCCTATGCCTGTGATTGTAGTTCCCCAACTCCTACTTAGTCTGTGCAGAAGACATATGACCTCTACTGAATACAGTCATCTCCCTATATGCTCTGTCCAATCAATACTTCACTGCAGCCTTGAATAACCTGAATGTGCACTTCAGCTGCAGTATTTTCAGCAAAGTTTCACAATGTATATTTCAAGAAACATATTTCTGTGCTGTTCTCAGATCTGCATACTCTTTTTTGAAGGTCCTTTTAATGCTCTAGTATAAGTAACATCAAACGATTGAAACTGCCAAATATCAAGCTACTGAAATATTTATATTGAATATTCCCAAGCATTTTCCAGGTAAACATCCAAACCATGGCATGCAATTGAAGTTTACAGGAAGAGCTCTAAACTTGACTAGCTAACATCAAGACTCCAAAAATTTAAGCTTGTCTTAAGAGGTGCATGGACACCATAGAGTAGAAACTTCCCCAGAACTTGGCACCAACTGGTAACTGTAGCTGTCACCCAACAGGTGATTAGGACTGAACTATTCCTTCTACATTCCAATCCTTCATATTAGTTTTGAAAAACACTTACAGATAAATCTGATGTGCTTCTAAATACTTCTAGTTAACAGTCTGTTGTGCTTCTACAACTCCTACCTTCTTCTGGCTTTTTGAGAAGAGAATTTTGGCATTTACGGAGGTTCTGCCATAATAATTATTTGTAGAAGTTACCTTCCAGATAATACTACACAAGAAAGATGCATCCATAAAAAAAGTAGACAAAGAAGATGGAAACAAACACTTGTTTAATGAACACAATGATTGTGTTAAAACATTGCTAGGTTATTATTACTTATTTCTCTTTATGTATACATTCATTGAAACTCCAAAGTAACACTGGACATTGCATAAATGAGACTAAGCTCAAACATATGTGACTATGCTTTAAGGTGCTAACACACAAAACAGCAAATGAAGTACAAATTCAGGAAGGAAATCTACTCTGTCTTCCCGCACTTTAATCATTATCTACCTTTGCTTAGGTAAGAACATGAGGTAACACTGCACTTCCAAATCAAAGATACCTGGAGTGACTTTCGTAAAGCAGGGAGAAGTTATCAGCAAGAATGTAAAGAAAGAAAAAGTCAGCAAATCACATCATTTCCTAAAACCTATTACATGTCTTCCCCATGTAATAAATCCCAAACTTTTATAATCAGAGCTGAATTAGACAAAGGTGTTGGAAGTATTTGAAAAGAAAAAAAGTACAATCAACAATTCAACATCATGTAAGATTATTTTCACTACCGAAAGTAAAAATACCTAACACTTCAGTATCATCAAGTGTATTAAAATCACCAGTTACCAGCAAGACTTTTTAGATATGATGCCACAAAAAGGCAATTTAACTTTCCTGTGCCAGCCACAGCATCAACAGCATTTAAGCAGACCTAATGGGCCAATCAAGTAAGGACAACCTGAAGCCAGAGTTTTCAAGTGCTTCTCAAACTTGAATGAGAGCACAAACTTCTCTAGGAGTTTATGTTCATGAAACTAGTTTGGTATGCACATCCCCAGACTGTGATCTTCATGAATCATCTAGTGGTCTAAAGCATATCAAAACTTTAAAGTTCTCCATCAGAAGGCACTTGATGCAGGGATAAATTTCACCCTGTACCCCAAGTTTTAAGGTATACAGATTAAATATTATAGTATAAAGTTAACATTTTAGTAAGTTTAAGAGCACTGCAGAAGAGCATCACCACCCTATTTTCACAGGAGACAAAAGAAACACATGCTGGTGTTCAGTAGTTTCCTCTCTGCAGTGACTAACAGGACCCTACACATACATCATTCAGAATAAAAGCTTCACAATGTCTGGCTGTAACATTTCTAGAATCAGCCATTCCAAAGTACCAGATATTTCTTCAGATTCAGTTCTTTCATGGTAGGTAGATCATCTCGAATTACAGGGCGTATCTAGCCCTCTAATATTTCAAGCTTGTTATTGCCTTCCAGGCTATGTACAGAGGTTGGGTTAAGATGATTAATTTCATACTGGTGTGGTTTTTTTTTTTGCAAATGTATCCATAAATATAGTTCTTGTGTTGACACTATCAATGTAGCTTTCTAGGATGTTCACAGCAAAGATAAAGTATTTGATCCATGGTACTAACTGGAGGTTAAACCCAGTCCAATTTCACCTTTATTTCTTTTAAACATGAAAACAAAAAACCTCTTAACATGAACTCTTTACTGGTTGTGTTTCACAAGGTAGTTAAGCTCCCAGAGATATTGAAACAGATGCCATCTGTTTATTAAAACTTTTATTATAAATCCATTTGGTCTTGCTTTTCCCTTTGGCATCCTTTCCACTGGAAAATAATGATCAAAGCCTCTGCAGTTCAAACTCTGAGAAGGTAAAAGGCAAAAAAAAGGAGGCAAAAGCTGGAACAAGAAAAACTGTACTAATCTAGTTTATCATCAGTCAATTCAAGGTATCATCCAGCTGCTATTAACAATGCTTTCAACATTCTGAATACACATTTAGGAAGTTTTGACAAGAAAAAATATGTTATCGAGGGGGGGAAAAACGGAATTGTGAAGTAACAAATATACACAGTAGTTTCTTGGTTTTCTGTAACTCAAGACTTCCTTGCCAAATAAATTAATAGAATCAGGTGATAGAAAGGCTGCTCTCAAGATCTAACAAAACCCAAATGATAAAATTAATACATTTGCTTACTGTATAGCAAATGGTTTGCTGACGTAAGCCATATTTGCTGCACAGTCCTTGAGATATCCTCACATGTGCACTGTTGGTTTTGTTTAAACTGTGGAGCTCTCATCAGAAATTCTGAGTTACTTGCCTTGTAGTACCAGTCCTGAAATTTTTTACAGCACTCTTCACTGCAGAAATCTCTCACTACACCATCAAGTTCCTTAGTTGCTCCCTTTTTGCACAGCTGTGAGCAGTAATTACAAGTAACACATCTCAGTCCTAACCGTCTTGCAAAGTCTTGTTTATATAGCAGCTTGCAGCCTGGAAACAGATTTTAAACATTAGGAACAAAGTAATTTTTACAGAGAGATATCACAGTTAAGAGTTAAATACTGAAAATTAAATGAATACAACAGCTAACAACTGGGGCTTCAGAAAAATTCGGTTGCATAATAAACTATATTTCAAGACAGTTTTACCTGAATCCCTTTCCTGCACAACTCTACAGTTTCATATGATGTCTGCATCTTTTTCAAAACACCACACTTGAATCTGTGCTTGTCAAATCCCTGAGTAAACAGTCACAAAAAAAACCCAAAACCAACACACAGTTTTCATATAGACCCATGCAAAACCATTGACTTGGAATTATATTGCTCAGTTACAAATCCTTAGAATGCTAGATACCCAGACAATGACAAGCAGAAATTTTAAGCTAGGCAACACTATCCTCTAAAACAATACCTAACTTCAAGGATCAACTTACTTTGATTTCATTCATATTTATACAACAAACCACTTAAGACAGCTCATTAATTTTTAAGAACGCTAGTACAAACAAGATGACCTAAGAATTGAGGAGCTTCTTAAAAAATGCTATAAAGCAAGTAATAATCAGTACTGAGAATAATCATGCAATGATAGGAATTTACATATGAAATTTGTGTAGATTTGTATGCAATGAATCTTTCATTTTTTCATTCCACATCAAGTCTTGGTGGATTGTTTTGTATTTGCTATGCAGTAGTAATTTCAAGGTTGCCATAATGATGGCTATATTCTTCAACAATATGATGCTCCCTCAAGCAAATCAGAAAAGACATTCAAGGTATTAAATACATTAAAAGATCAATACTGTAGCTATTACTTAGGCTATTTTGAGAGTATAATGTATTTCAAACTACCTCAAATGTAGTGTCTATTCAGGTGATGCCTAAATCATGTACCATGTACCTCTGTTACTGTGCTATTTTTTTACAGAAGAGACCAGTACGAAAAGATGAAGTAACTGTCTATATTAAACACTGGAGGAACAAGAAAACATCTATACAGACCTTTAATCTGAGATATTGCATCTGTTTTTATGATCTCCCAAATATCATAGTATCACCAAAGACCAGAACTCAAGTCTCCCAAGTGCCCACTCTGCAATGGCACATAGCCTAACACATGCAGACTCCTGTACTTCTCGTTATGAAACTCAATATGTAACAAACATGCTGTGTATAAAGATACTGTAATTATAATGGATTCAGTAATTTCAGTTAAGAAGCTTGTGCTGTTGTCTATTAGGGTAGAATTTCATATGTGTGAAACGGATACATTTCAAAAATCACTAAAAGCACAAGAATGCAAGTGGAAGCTACAGCAGACAGCATCTTCCAAACCCAAAAGATTATTGAGGAATTTTAACTTACAATACTACAAGCTTTGCTAACAAATTACATTTGCTAACAATGTCAAAGCAAGACAATTATAAAGTACGAATAAGACTGTATGTAAAAACTGTTTAAGCTTTTTTCTGTTATATATCTGATTCTTTAACAATAAAAAAAATTACTAACACACAAAACAGGCAGATGAAAAGTGCCAAATCAAGCAATCACCCTTACAGTGAAACTAATTCAAATGTTAAGTACACTGCTCTGAAGGAAATAGTAATCCTGAAAACACCAGTGTGTGCAAACTACTAGTTAAAAGAACCCATTAAAGCACTGAACATTTCTTGCCAGTATTTTTTCCTGCTGTATCCCTTATTATTTATGGAGCATCAGATTCTTCCCACTTCAACTCCAGAGACAGCTCAGCACCACGAAGTATCCTCGTCTTCAGCTCTGCCTTAGAAGAGCCATTCAATGCTGCACTAACTCACAGAAGCACTCTACTACCCTTCAGGTAAGCTATGTGCACCTGGCTAAATAGCCTACAAAAAGGAATGGAAAATGCTTACATTCTCCTTGGCTGCTAAACTATGGAGAGTAAAATTGAAGAAGATACTGCTGTTATGTTCAAAAAAGCTATCAGATAAGAAATTTTCCATGCTACAGTCAAACATCTCTCACATCTGTGACTCATGGAAAATAATGAGAAGTGAACATTAAGGGGAAACAGAAAGTCCAAACTTCAAGCCCTTAAGACTAAATGCCTGAAAAACATGGAGGTTTTATACATCACTGACTGCAGGGCTTCTTACTGAAGGAAGCCTCTACAGAAGATAGAAAATCTATCTTTATAAAACTTCAGATGCTGATATAAGATTGTTACAACTGTGAAGACTTCTAAAATGAAAGTACAGTCTTTCTGCAACATCATGAACAAAACTCTTCAGACTTGTCTAACTTTTTTTACATCTTTGTAATAGGTAACAACCCAAGGAACCAGGAAGCATTTTGGTTGTTTCAAGATCCTCTCACTTCATACGAAGAGAAAACAAACTGCCCTTTATTTGACAGCATTATTTTAATTAGGCCCTAGGTGCTTTGTGCATACCTAGGATATAACTTTTTATCACAATTCTATGATTTTGATTTGAATTGTAAGCTTTTAAGTACGGAAAAAAATATTCACCTTCAGCAAAACATTCTGAGCTCAAACAACTCAGTCTTCACAGTGTAAATCCTGCATCAGCAGACCAACAGTATCCATGCTGGCTTTGTAGATATGACCTAGAAGTGCGCTTTGACTGACTACATTGTGGCAAAGTAATACAAAAAGAACACTGGTTGACTGATATTTCCAGTATCAACACTAAAATACTGAGGGTTTGGTCACCCTAACTCCTCTGTGAACTTGAAGTTCATGAGTATAAGCACTGCCTAAGACAAACAGCTGAGAGCCCAAATATTCAGAACAATTTCTGCTATAACACGAGATAGACAAATTACAGGGTGACCAGGTGGACATATCTAGTGCTTTAAAGCAACTCTTAAGAGAAAATAGCTCTTAATTTCAAAACAAAATTGAAATGCAGGTAATCTGATTCAGGCTACAAAAGAAATTATATTCTTTAGCAAAATTCTAACAGAAGACCATCCTGCAAGTCAACTATCTCGGGCCACAAAGGAGCACTGCTACACAACTATTTCCAACTCAAAATTGGAACCAAGCAAAAATGAATTAATTTCGCTTTTCGAATTCTGGCTTCCAAGTAAAACCCAACAGAAAATCTATCCTTTCCAACAGCCCTGAAATTTGGTTATGCACATGAACTGTATAGAGAGAATAAGGATTTGAACGCACACAACAGAGGCTTACTGACAGGACAACACACAAACAGCTCCTTCAAACCTTTACTTCAGCCATGTTCCAGGTCAAGAGAGCTTCCTTCCTTTTGGCAGACCCAAGAATTTCTAGGTTGAGTTCTCCAGGGCTACCCATGTTTGGAAACCTACCTCACCTGACTGCCTGCAGACTCAGTGCACGCAAGTTACTAAGAACCTGATCCTAGTCTACCAGTAGTACCTACCTGAATTACATGAAATTCCATACATTCACACATCAAGCAGCTGTAAAAAAGGAATGCTGAACTAGAAACACTTTAGTCCTGAACACCAGTCTCTTTTTACTTCAGAGAATAACATCTTTTATAGAAAATAACTGTTCCATCCTAAAAGCGATTAGTTTTTTACCCCTGAAATGCTGTACTTACTAAACTACCTTTCTCTTCCTTCAAGCTACATACAAGACTTGCTGTTCTCTCATTTTGTAATAACTTCAACTGTTAACAACTTCATCTAGAGACAAACAACAGGACTATTATATGACAAGCCTGTAGCATCGCAAACCAAGTCTTGAAGATTTCTCAAGATATGTTGCATCCACATCTTTCTCCTGCCTCCCTCTGTACTGATTCAAACACACAGTAGCCACCTTTTCCATGCACACATTCCTAACATTCGCTGCCTCTGGCTTGACAATAAACATCACTATCCATAGGAAAACAGATGCAATGCATCCAATTTTGGGCCCTGCTTGGACTACCATTAAAACAGAGCCCTTCCTCTGTATGTAACAGAAGCTGTATCTCCCACTTCCTTCCTTGTCTTCTGCTTAAGAACCTTTTATTATTTTATTATAGAATCATAGAATAGTTAGGGTTGGAAAGGACCTTAAGATCATCCAGTTCCAACCCCCCTGCCGTGGGCAGGGACACCTCACACTAAACCGTTATCACCCAAGGCTCTGTCCAACCCAGCCTTGGAACACCGCCAGGGATGGAGCATTCACAGCTTCCCTGGGCAACCCATTCCAGTGCCTCACCACCCTCTTACAGTAAAGAACTTCTTCCTTATATCCAATCTAAACTTCCCCTGTTTAAGTTTGATCCCATTACACCCTTGTCCTATCACTACAGTCACTAATGAATAGTCCATCCCCAGCATCCCCATAGGCCCCCCTTCAGATACTGGAGGGCTGCTATGAGGTCTCCATGCAGCAACTCAGTTTATTCTAATGTTTTCTGATATTGGATACCAGCTCCTTCTTTTCTCATCCCTCTTACTCCTATCCAGTCACTAGGTTTTTGCTTATTCTTAAACCTTTTCAAGTTGATTATTCTTTCAGGTTCCTAAGAAGCAGCTTTATAAGTGGTCTTCTTGTGCTCATAAGCTCAGCACCTTAAACTGTCATCACTCCTTATCTGCAAGAGTCAATGTTATCTTCCCTTGGAGAACTGTCTCAAACATCTTCAAAAGACACAAGGGAATTAACACTGAAGAATTCCAATCTAACAAGGACCACTTAATTCAAACGATGCACAGGATTTCACTTGATATTCTTTACCATGTTATAAATTAGTTCTCCATGGACAAAAAAAAAAAATAATCTCAAGATTCAGCACAACATCTACTCAAAATCTAAATGAAGTTACTTTAACAGTATCAATGTTCTCCCTCCAAGACCGATAAGTATGTAGTATCTTCCTCAGCATAGTTTTATCTTTTGATTTTTTCAACTCCCAGAACACCACCGAAAGTATAAAAAAACAGGATAACAAATTAAAATTTTCAAGTCATTCCAGAAGACATGCACCCTACAAACAC